AGAAATTAGTTATTGGAAAATATCACTTGCTTCTCTGCCTGCCTGCACTGAGTGATTTGTAAACTAAATTCGTACTTCACTGTTTAATATCAATGTATAAATTAAGCCGGCAAAAGTGATAGATGTAGTTGTGTTGGGAAAATACAATAAGGACTGCGGTAATATAATCCGAGAGACAGATCTGTAAATGGAGCACATTTCTGAATACACGAAACAAAAGAACTGGTCTTTTGTGGTCCATTAATATCAATATAAGTGGTGAGAATACGCGACACTCAGCTTATGCGCGAATCTCAAAAAATTTCTTATGAAACTGAAATATGTTTTGCCGTTGATAAATAAAATTCACGGTAATCTTAGTATTAGCGGATTGTTTAACTTGTTTATTGTCTTCGGCAAGATGTCAAGTCTAAGAATTGGGTCGATTAGGCACTATGGTGCTGATAAGAAACTGTTAAATATTTTCGATTAAGTCCTTTAAAATAGGATACGAAAAGTGTTTGGAGTTGGAGCCTCGTGGCTAAGAAAACGTTTCACGGTCTGTAAGGACCATATTTTTTCTCGTACAAAAGGACCAGTTGTATTCATAATTCGTTGTATTTAGCGTTGTCACGGTTATTAATTTACTACGTTTATGTACAGAACCCATGTATATATATGATACTATGTTCACCTTATATGTATGTATTTAATCCGTGTATATAATACGTTTATGAATGCTCACGGTCTAAGAGTCAGTCAGGAATCCGATATGACGAGTGCGGTTACAACCGCTCGGTGAACTAAGGACGACTTCTATATTATTACATTTTGTAATAATAATACTGTATAAGTTGTGAGGGTCGAGGGTAGTTCACACCTACACACTATGTACATATACATTTATGTAAATAATACGTTCGGAAACTTAGTATAGAGTAATTTCAAATTTCGAATTTACCAACGCGTTTTCCTGGATTCTGAAATAATAACTTTAAACTCTTTGTGTGATTATTAAAAAAAAAACCAAATCAATAAACATTCTTAGGACGCTAATTGAGATAAGAATGCTGGTTTAAAGTAAAATAGCAGATATTATTATGTATATCAAACAAGGTAAATTGACATTCAGTAGTAAATGTCAAATTGTAGTCGGTTAATTAGCTCATTATAAATGTTTCATTCCTGTTACCGTTAGCAAACTGTATTGGAATTACTTAAGTAAGTTCGCTTTTTAATAAAACGACGTTTAAACATCAAAGACTAAAGTTACAGCTCAGTCTAAGAGTCTAATTTAATTAGTACCTATCTGAGAACTTACTGAATATTTACTGTATAAAATGTAAATTTGAATAATGTATTCGTCTTTGAAATTAAAAAAAAAATACTGCGTAATAAGCTTAAGAGTTAAACCACGTAAAGATAGCAATAATTCAAAATGAAATATGTACAGACAATGAAATGTTTACGATGAAATGGCTTCTATTGCGAATTTTATTATGATTGACAAACGTAGTAGTGGTTAAGATGTACACGTCATAATGACGGAGAACGCGCGCGCCGGCGCACGCCCGCACACGTCACGCCGCCAGCTGATCGCACCTACTCGACCGGTGTAAACAAATCATAGTAACGCTCCCACGCTTCCACGCTCCACTCGTGAGTCGCGACTACATGAATACTCCACACTAGCTCGCATTAATATTTATCCAAACTTCCAACGCAAATCACAACTTCACACCGAATTAATCATTCTGATCTAGTTACCAATTATGTGAAAAGCTGGCAAACTTCTCGTGACATATTGCTCTATCAATCAATTGTAACCCACTTGGATATTTAATAACAGACGTAACTTGTCCTAGTCTCGACATTGCCGGTCGTTTAACTTGTCAAACAATATTGTTTCGAGTGTGATTATCTAAGCGATAGGTATTTTAAACCGGTCAGGGTCAGATTATTTTGTTCGTTACAAAAAAATGTCGTCATTATAGTAATTATAAACAGGGTCAACATTCTGGCGGTTGCCGGCCATCGACATTCGCGTCCGTGATGTACCAGCAACTTTATTGTTAGATATTTAGGTTAACCAGTTCGTTTGCATATGGCGGATAGATGGTTTAGATAAACCGTCTGCCAAGCAACACAATGGAGAACTTGAACATATTGTAACGCGTGGGTGGTACACACTACTACTAATCTAAATTCACCCAATAAAATGTAAATACACATTCTACAAAGTTCATCGGTTCATTAATCTCATAAAAACGATGTACTAATTAATCTTGACGGATTAAAAGAAATAAATCACAAATACGCTATGGTATTTGGCAGGTCGTAATTAGTGAGAGAAACGGTAGACGACGACGAGAGAAATTTAAAAATAATGCAGGTACGTTTTAGGCTCCTGATTGATATGGCAGCTGTAAATGTATTGTAATTAGAACAGTTACTAAGAAAAAGCATTTTTTAGCAAACTGTTTTAAAAAGAAAAAACTATTTCACGTGCATGGAAATAGTGGGTATGGTAAAAACCGAACACTAGTGGTCTAACAAGCCAAGTCACGTTCGGATCCGTGGGTAACTATGTATATCAAAAAGTCAAACGTATTGATGATAATCGGCTGCTACATACACATGCACGCGTAAGTCGCATTCCCTTAAAATGCAAACATCGCTTTTGCTTAGTTACAAACTAATTGTTATTTAAACACATGACGTTTGCTTACTTTAAGTAAGTAAATAATATCGTCCATTTCAATAATGGTATACAGCAAATATATTAGTACAATATTAATCGTTGGCATTTCTTCCGAGGTTTTAATTTCCACGAATTTCAGTCACCAATTCGCAAACAAATAACTTTAATTATTATGGTAGAGAGTGAGTCGGTGAATAACGGTGCTATAAAACTGTAGATAAGCGAGTGGGCAAACAACGAGAATTGAAAAATAAACAGAGCAAATAGTCGAGTGGCGACGAGGACGAAGCGCACCTGCCGTTCTGGTCACCACACCCGCACACCTGCGACGGCAGCCTGTGCATTGTTGCTCACACAAAAAAATATACCAGCAGTTGCATGCTTAACCAACTGGAAGTCACTGATATAATTACAAGTAAAAAAGCGTGAAGAATGCTGTAGCACGAAATATTTGCCATCAAAAATTTCACACCACTATGTGGCCGTAACGGCGAATAAATTGGTAAACGCCTATCCGGGGAATGTTGCCGTCGTATTTCATAATCCAAATCATATTTCAATGGAGGCGAGCGTCGTGGCGACCAAAGAAGGCGAGGCGACACGCTCCGAAGAAATATTGCTGGTTTGGCAGTGAGGCGGCGAGGCTGCGAACTACGCATAAGATGTCTGCCATCTTCAAGCGAAGCTAGGCCTTGTGCGGTTTATCTCCCGGCCGTCTCGACGCCGTTTGGGAAATTGCGTACACAGCAAACAAAGAATTGCACATCGAGATAAGGAACCGGAGCGTATCGCGCTTATGAACGCCCCTCGGCTTCGTCCGCCACACCCGACCGTAATAATCTAACAAATACCGTTATACCCCCTTTGATACTCTTCATCAATGTTAAGTACCATCTTTATGTTTACGTAACAGACATGCTTTTTACGCAAAAACATGAGGTAATGTACCTATACACTAAATTGTAATCGAACCTCTGGTGCCGCTATTCGGTAAAATAACATGTGTGCGTGACACGAGATTTCTCTACAGAATGACGTTACTATCACATTAATTTATATCTTCCGAACAATACTTTCAAAGAAATGAAAATAACACCGCAGAATAATATCACTTTCATGAGTCCTTCGACGTAAGTAATGCGGAAGGGAGGAAGATTTAAGTTTGATAATCCGCAAGCCGCTGCCCGTCAAAGATAGGGCCGTTTTCGACGAGGGTCGGTAGTCCGCGCGGATGCTCTTTGGTGTAACGCGGTTCAAAGGGAGCTTAGGCCTAGTTGGCACAAAAGAATAGCAGTTTTCGGGCGGACTAACGAGCTTAAAATTTAAATGGGAAACAATGTGGAGCATGCGCGTTGACCACGGTCATTCGATAACCACGCCGGCCGATCCAATGAGTACTTAACTAATATTTCATCGTTTACACACGCAAACGTGCCTGAGCTGCCATTGTGTGTAAATCCAAGCACGTCGACCTAAACAGATTAATTCCAAACGTGCTGGTGCTTTATGTCAATCGATACCCACGCTAATAAATGTATTTAAATGTCATTTATTATATAAATTAAAAAGGAAGGGTAAAATTCAATAGCCAAAGAAGATAGCATTAGATGTATTGTACATGTGAACTTCGAAGGGCAAAAATACTCAATGAAATATAGGCAGGGGCCAGGGAGTCGTTTACAGCGAACACCCTCTTTCGGAAATATCGCTATGTGGAATTAGGAGGCTCTGAGTGACATGGCCGCCTACGTTATATGTGGCTTTCACTGTAACGTTCAGTATAAAGTACATTTACCCCAAAATGTAGTAGGTAGGTATAACAAATATTATATATAGACTACATATAGGGTTAAATGAACAAGGTTCCATTACGAAAGAGCGTTCACTCATAATGTATTTCAAAGCAAATATTAATACATATTTAAAATCCGATGGTTTTTATTTTTACATTGAAATTGTATGAAAACATTGAGATAGCACGAGGAATAGTTTGTTTCAGTATTCTTTTCTTCGTTTATTTCAACTTTTACCTTTTGCTTCTTCGGCTAGGATACTACGGAATTAATGGAAAATGGAAGTCAGAGTTAGATTAAGATTTCTGGAAGCAATAATATCGAAGATTAAAAATAAGAGAGTGAAACCCAGTCTGTCTATAAGTTACAGTTGTCCGAGATAACAACTACATAAAGTTAAAACTATAATTTAGTATTTATATGGCGAACATCAATAGAAGTGTTGGGAACAGTGGAAGTAGCTATAAGTTTGTGGTACACGTATTCAGCCACCGCGCGTCTCGACTCACAAAGCGGAGTCAAGTTACCAGCAGAAGAACACGTCGCGGTCGTCGAGCTCACTGGGGAGTGCGGGGCAGGGTGCGGGGGGAGGGATACACTCAGCGACGTGACATTTTCGCAAACAAGCCACGAGGAGCGAGGCAGGGGCGCCGTGAAATTTGCAACCTCGGCGCCAGCCGCCATCCAACCGGCCGCGACGCAACGCCAACCTAATAGGGGAAATCGATGAATAAATTCGGTGATCCGGGTCTGACTACACTCGCTGTCCGAAAGCAGATTAACGTTTAAATGTGTACATAAAAGAAAATTGCCATTTCTATGTAAAGTGACCGGGAACACCGTTACGGTACGGATTTGGCAGCCAGAAAGGGTCTTCATTACCACATTTCATTGGATGTTATTGTTTCCATTACTCGATTTCGCACCTAACCTCTCGCGCTAAAACGAACGAGAATCATATGTTTCGAAGACTTCCGAAATCTTAAGTTCCGTGTTTCGCGGACCTTGCTTACGAAAGTCCAATTTTATTTACCTCTATGGGCACGAATTTATTCGGCCAAGCAGCAAAAATTTAAAGAAAATAATTATTTTAATTTAACAAAAAGGGATCCATTTTAATAACTTAATCGCTAGTCCGTGTAAAGGACAATAATAATATAGCATGCGGATAAAAGGACCAATAAAACAATGGTATTTTTTCCTCCAACGCAAAATGTCTGCTTTTATCGTGAATGGCTTACGCGGCAAAGGTACGAGGACGATATAAAAACAGCGATGTAATTAAGAGAAAAGATTAAGGGGCCAACCCACACCGGACACGCTTTAATTATTACAAGCGACATTTATAAATACACGAATTCTTTTAGGAAATTTTCGCGTTTTTTGAGTTTTCGTTGTTAGCCCTAAGAGCTCGGAAATCAAAGAGTTTTTTGCTGTCTTTTGTAATGAATTAACAGAGGCAATTAAATAAGTTGCTGAAGTGATACTTAATTTAAGATTCGTATCTCGAATGTTTATTTATTTGTTATAAACTACGTCACATCGCAGACAGCTATGGAGTGTGATAATGCTAATGACTCGGGGCTTATAAATCTTAATGAACGTAAAACTAGCTGTGACTAGTTTATTTGATTTTATTAGCATTCAATGTCACATCATTTTGGTTAGGTAACATAAAATGTGTGTGCTTGAATGAGAAAATAAACATGTCTGAGGTAATTTCACATGGCGCTTTATAAATAAGTACCTATTGTATGTATTTTACCACAATCCCAGAAACAACTGCGATCCGATATTACAGCGATAACATTAACTGACCTTTAACGATACTAGGCAAGGTAATTTAAATAAAAATAGTTATAAACTGCCAGTACTATCACAAAACATTACATAATAAAAAATCTTGCAAAATGGAGAGATTAGTACCTCGCTTTTCTGGAAATGCTGTTAAAAAGCTAACATACATTAAAAAAAAACATTTCTAAAAATAAACCTCAACTGAAATCATTGTTCAAAAGAGCGTTAATACAAAAAAAGAGTGTAAAGTCGAAAAATAATCTGCAATTGCTGAATGATGTTTTGTGAAACACTTAGCAATGTTTCATACAAACACAGCCATAAAATAAGATCGAGATAACCGAACCGAACACCGAACACATCTGTCCGTTGCATTAGCTATATCAATTAGATTCTACTGGTTATGCAGTAAATAAACTGCAATGGGTTCTTAATTACGGCATCTGACAATTTTGCAATGACAAAATGCAGGAAACAGTTCGCCCGTCGCGAGACAAGTAATAATTATCATTTATTAACGATTTGCGTTTTGTTAATTAATTGCCTTGTTGTTAATATATTCCATTTTATATTTTGTGTTTTCTAATTAATCGTAATTAGTATTTTAATCTTGTACCTGGTTTGGATGTTAGTTATAACGAGGCAACACATAGCCACTCTCAAGTATTCAGTTATTAACAGCGTGTTCTGTTAAACAAATTAGTACCGTTTCTGGCGACTGACGATGTAACGGCTCGACGGCGATGAAATGCTGCAAAAAACTGCGAATCGGTTCCTCTAGCTGTCACGACTGTGGAGGTCATCAGAACGCCACAATGCTGTAACACTGTAAGTGTTTAATTGTTTCAATATCCGCGAACAAAGAATTACTTTTTATTCAACTTTTTACAAGGCAAAACCGTTCAATTTGTCAAAGTAACAAGGTATTTAACAAAACGTGCAAAAAATACAACCCTGAGCAGATCAATACAATTTAATCGCTTCTATTAACGTTATGGTTTCATACTTAAATATCTCTCCGAATATGAAAATGGCAAGTTAGGTGGAAAATCGAAATTCTGTCACTTGGAAAATTCCACGAATTTAAAATTTTCCGTTATTCACGGTAAAATCGGTATTCCAGAAGGTAAGGTAAAAGGAAGGTACGTCGTGGGTTCTGTACTACAACTTTTATTGGCTCAATGTTGAGTAAGAATATCAAATGCACATTGCACAATGCACATTCTACTTAGTTATAAGAAAAAACAGTCAAAGCAGGACTTCAGATACTGCGTAGTGCCTAGTTATGTTAATATTAAGGCGATTTCATTGATTGTCAATTTAAAGACTAGGCAACACTTAAAAGTTATGTAAATGTAACCCTTTATAATCGGTTGGAAATCCTGTATACGTATATGCCTTTTCCCGGGGCGTGGGCGGAGGGTTCTGTCTGTCAGAGTACAGGCTAAAACCACCCCTGTGTCCCTTCACACATAACTTGGGCGACCCGTCAACGTTTAAGCAATCTTCAACTGAGAGACTTTGGACCCCATATAACCACGCTACCAGTGACGCACGTACGATTTCGTGGAACCTGTCACTTAAGATTCAGGTTTGGAAACAAATGGAATTATTCACGACTACCAAATACATATATCCTAGTCGTAAAACAAATCTGACATTACAGAATAATAAAGAAGTCTTAGGAATATAGATAGTTGTAATTGTGTTGGTAACTCCAACAAGCTTAGTGGTCTAATATGACGCAGGTTAACGGGCGCTTTATAGCTTCGGCGTGAGAATGAGAATGAGTCACCAAATGCTACAGTCGGCGTTCGTGCCTCGAGCGACATGGCACCAAATGGGGATTGCATTTCAAGATAGGAAACATGATGGGAATCAGATCGATAACATGTCTGGCATATTTGAAGTCCCGCGTACCAGAAGACCCATTAAAAAATGTCGTTACATCCGTCGAAAATTGAGTAACTTGAATAATGCGCCAGCAAAATGATCGCAATATCAATATTTTGACTGTATGATATTTCCTCAGCACGCAAACCTGTACTTAAATAACACATTTCACTGGGGAAACAGTCGGTACCGCTACATGTCGGCTTCATCCTTATTAGCTGACGATTGTTTAAAAGTGATTCTTATCTAAGGCGTCGTAAGTCATAGACTGGGTTGACAAGGCGAGCTTAAGTAAATGGAGCTCGGCCAAGAGGTATCGAAGGTAATGTAGGCAAATTCGCAAATCCCGATTGTGGCGTGGGTGGTCGTAAGGCCCCGTGTGAACAGAAAGCAAGATATACTCTATGAGATAGTTACCATCGCGAAATAACTGTTACAAAATATTAGTCGCAATCGGTTGTGAAATACGCGTTGCCGGCGACTAAATGCTTTAACATTGATATTGAAAACGAATTGAACGGATGAAGTACAGTAGCCGAAATTTATACTACAGTTATTCTTAACCTAGACACAAATAACAGTTCTTTTTTTCTGCATCGGATTAGACGAGTTACCTGTATACTTTGATGGAATAAAATAAATACTTGAAATGATTTAGAATCGCAATAAGTACGTATAATCTTTCTCAATTACCAGAGTATAATGACTGAGAACGTAGAAACGCTGGAGTAAAACGATTAACAGCCTTATAAAGTAAATAACTTTAATGGTATGCCATTAGGCCTGCACAATAACACACATGATCATAAGAATGTATACTGAACGCGGCACTAAATTCCATGATAATGCAAAAAGAATGTTAACTATACCGACTAGGGATGGCGTGGTCTATTCGAAGTAATCGATAACGCTGATATATAAAATATTTAATGACATTGTTTTTTTAATGAAAAACATAGTCTCTTCATAATTGTGCTTAATGTTACACTGTTTAGAATAGTAAAAAGCTTAAGTTAAAAGGTCTTTTAACATCTCTCTTTATGGCTAAACAACGTCTAAATACAAGATAGTTTTACAAATGAACTATAAGTAGATATTATATCGATATTGCAAAGACTAGAGAATCGATAACGTCGTTTCCTATCCGCGCTATTTTCCACCAGCAAACCGAAACCCGTTTACACGGGAGCGGTTCGTTATTTTTGTTAGCCTGTTAATCGCATGATGCGTTTTGTTTGGGGCTGGGAATGTTTGTTAGTAGCTTGATCACTGATCACACAACGTTGACGCATCGATTTCGAAAAAGTGGATTAGAACGAGCGAGTTTGAAAAACGAATGAAAAAGGACCCGCTTAATGGGAACTGATCAGGAAATTGACGGCTCAGAAATATCGGTCCGTAGCTATGGCAACGCGAAATTTATACGGACTTGGGTCCATCGGCTTTATTAGGTACTGTTTACGAATTACGATGTTCGCTAAGGATTTACCGTCGTTACGTAAGCTTCAAGTTTTCAGTGAATATTATCGTTAGTAGGAATTGTTTGTCTTAAGTTTAAAATTTGCACGAAGCTGTTTGCTATAATTAGTTAAGCAAACAGTAATATCGCACAATGTTTTCATACATAGTAGATACGTTTTCGTATTGTATATTTAGTTATGTATTTACAAAAGAAAAGGCTTTCAAGTTACGTCTCGCTCAAAATTGTGCTTTAAAAACAAGAGACAATAACAAATTGATATCGTAAGGCATAGGATGTTATCGTAAAACCTACGATGTCTATTGCTTTGTAAATGCGTACAGGCGCATAATGTACGTGTTTCCACTATTCAGTCCAGACAGGATACAAGTAATAACGATCTATAGGTGCGGTGGCAGATGGGCAGGTGTTCGCGTGCCAGCTGTCATAGCCATTTTCTCTTCCCTCACCATACCACCTGTGCCCCCTCAAGGGAAACCGACCAGTATCGTATACAACAATGTATTACTGAATACATTACTTTTTATTACTACGTTTCTG